ACAAATAATAGGAATTAGCAGACCAGGTAAGAGATAGGAATTAATTTTCTGGCTCAAGGAATTGATTGGAATCATAGTCTGACATCTGTCTCTTCCCTCTACACCATCCTGGTTTTTCTGGAGGCTCTTCTCTCTCTGGGTGCTAATCATGGCTTCCTTCTTCCCCTGTCTCCAGGGATGCTCTCAGACTGGTCCAGCTGAACCAGAGGAGCAAGAGTCCAGAGTCCTGACCAGCCCCCACAGTCCCTGCCCCTGCTGCAGCTCCTGTGCAGGCCACAGTGGGGCTCGCTTATCCCCAGCCAATGACGCCCCCGGTGTCCACTCCTGGACAGCCCAACACAATGGTAATGTCCTCTGAGTCGAATTTTACTTTCCAGATTTAAGCAAGTGAGAAAATAGGAACAACTGCCCCATGTTTTGTGAGCAGTTTTACTGATCCGTTCTAGCAATTGCACCAAAGAGATAACATGGTAAAGGAAGTGTGATCTCAGCAATGGCAGAAGTGACACACAGCAAACTCCATACAGACTTCCTAGCAGAAACCAGATCTGTTTCTACACTGACTTCCAAATAGATCACTGAAACTATGATCGACTTGAACTTGCCTCAAGATCCACAATTCTGCCAACATGCATGTGTGCCGCAATCATGACACTCTTCATGCTTTATTAACTGAAGTGTGCCCCTGTTGTGGATGTGGCCTGTTTGCAGACCATGTCATGTCACGCTGAAGCACCTTACAACCGACTGGCATGTCCCTTTCTTTCTGGGGTGTGTGCAGTAGGACCACCTCTGTATTTTCATTCTGCCTCTGCCTCCCTTTCCAAGTGCCTTTCTGGCTATTTCTTCTGTCAGAAGCAGCATGAGATGTCCAATTGTATTTGGGCAATTCAAAAATGAAAAGAAGAAAAGTAAATAAACATGCTATTTCTGATGGGGACATGTATTCCAATGTAACATTTGAAAAGCACTATTGCCATGGTCCTGAAGTAACTGTCGTCAAATCCCAAGACAGAGTGAGGCTGAGGAGGGGCCTGAATGTAACTGAAGGGTCATCGTGCTTCTTCGAGGAGCACACCGGTGCAGTGGCCACAGGGACATTGTTGGAGGGTCTTAGGATCACATTCATGCCTTCTGTAAGGAGTCTAGGGAATACGATGCTCATGTGATTTTCTTTAATTGCACACCCACACAGACACAATTTGGCAGATTGTCCAGCATCTTGGATGATTGTTTTCTGCCATGTGCTGTTTTTGTAAGAATTGCACAGAAGTTCTCCAGCCTTTCATTCCCCTTGCGATTTCTTTGATCTGTGAGCTATCTGTAAGTATGAATTTAACTTTGAAATATTTGAAGACTATCCAGGTATCTTTTGTTTATCATTTCTACCTTAACTCCATTGTGTTTACAGAACACACTGTGTATGATTTCGGTCTTCCTAAATGTGTTGAGCTCAGTTTTATATTCGTAGCGTGGTCTGTCTTAGTGAGTGTTCCATGTTTCCTTGCAAAGGTGGTTCCGCTTACAGCTTTTCAGCTCTGTGATGTGAGAGTGACCCATGTTTGGTGGAAGCAGGATGGCCCTCCCTTGCAGTGTAGATCGGAGGCTGGCCACTGGTGCTCTGCAGTACACTGTGTCACCGGGAGCTTTTGCAGCCATGGGAGAAGAGAAGTGCTCTGAGCACTTTGACGGCAGGCTGGGCTAAGCGGGGGGGCTCAGTAGATTAGACATGCTGAATGCGTTTCAGTTAACCGTATTTTCAGCTTATGATGGAGTATTGAGACGATTGTGAATTGAGGCGCATCAGCAGTTGATTTGTGGATTTATTGCTGATTTGAGCTTTGTTAAGTGTTATTAAGCTTTATTAAGTGTTGTAATAAAAGCTGCTTATGGGCGGTATGTATATGTCTCACTGTGTGTGTGCATATGCATGCGTGTGTGTATATAATATGTGGTATGTTTGTATTTGTGTGTGTACATTTATATGTATATATGTACACATCCATAGGGGAATTATTCATTGCTTAATGATTAATTTCCTTTGAATCATCTTAAACATAGTAACATAAGATGTCCCATCACAGCTGAAACATGAATTTTGTTCCTTTTTTCTGTAGTTATATCCCATAAAACTAAAACTCCTCAGATGTTTTATATTCCCCTTATACTAAAACTTTAATGGTGCTTTCCTTGTATTAATCTTTAATTAATAAATTAGGTCAGTGAGAATGAATTTTATTTATGAAATTTCTTGGTTTCTGGGTCCCCCCCCCCATTCTACTTGTGGTTTAACAGACAGATTGCTCTTTTTTTTAGGGCACGTTCACTGAAATCCCTGCTAGCAACATTCAAAGAGTTATTGCCAAGAGGTTAACTGAATCTAAGAGTACTGTACCTCATGCCTGTGCTACCACCAACTGAGACCTCGGAGCTGTCCTGAAAGTTCAGCAAGATCTGGTCAAAGGTCAGTAAAGGGAAGTGACTTAACACAGTACACATGCACATCCATTTCCATGGAAGCTCACATTGTGTAGCCTTCCATTTCAGCTCCCTAATGTACTCGCCCTCTACTCTGATAATATTTTGTGCTAGAGGGGGCAACCCCTTCGGGTCCCCTCCCGCTGTGGGAACTTTTCTGTCCTCTCAATCCTGCTTTTAAAAAAAAAATTGTGCTGGAGAAAGAGAATTTAGTTCTGGTTTCTGTGAGAAACGTGTAACTTAGTTGTGGCGAATGGATTGCAGATGCTTTCCCTTTCTGCACGTGAGGGGCTCTGCTCCACCTTGCTCTTGATCGTGTCCCTTTGGCCAACTGAGTTCCATTCTCTGCAAACACCAAGTGAGCATCCCCACCGAAAATCCAAAACGCTCCCAGATTTGAAGCTTTTCGAGTGCCATGACACTCGCAGGAAATTTTCGTGGGAGCATTTCAGAGTTCGGATTTCAGGTTGAGAGGTTGGGGCTGCCGAATGTCATATTCCAAGTCTGAGCACCTGGGGCACTTCTGTTCCTGACCATTTTGGATAAGGGATACTCGGTCCTGTAGCACTGTGTTTGGATTGGTTGGTGGATTTAAAAGCAAAAGTAATAGGCTTAATTTTTTGGTTTGCTTTAACTCGTACATATGTAAATTTTTTGTAAGAATGTATGAACGGCTTGCTCAACCTAGATGGTTATTTTTACTTTTAATATTTTTGAGTATGATATTTAAACAAAAAGGTCCTTAACATTCTAGCAAATTTAAAGTCCAAACATTTTAAGAATGTTTTAGGTTATAAATATATCTTAGTATTTTTTAATGCAAGTTTTTCTTTTATATTTCTTGTTCAAATGCATTTTCAGGTTATTACATTTGTAACGTCTCTCCCAAAAAACAATTAAACATAAGGTTGCTGAGAGACATACAGATTTTAGCATGAACTGATAGTTTTTTTACTCTTTTCGGTCTCTGTGGCTTTTGTATTGCTTTCTTGCCTTGTTGCACTAAGACCTCTGGTGTAATGATGAATGTAAGTGGCAAAGGCAGGCACTGGGGCCACGGCCTTCATCTCCGGGGGAGCGTTGGGTCTTTGTCATTAAGTGTAAGTAAGCTTTTTGTAGGTTCCTTTCAGGTTGAGGGGATTTCCGCTCCTGATTGCTGGGGCTTCTGAACACGAGTGGGCGTGGAATTTTGCCAAATGCTTTTTGTACGTCTCTTTACTTCTTTCCTTTTTGTATCTGTTTTTGTGGTAAATTACATCAGTTGATTTTCAAATGATGAGTCAACTTTGCATGCCTCATACACTGTGGAAACCCGTTTAATCTCCTTCTCATACAATTAGGTTCCATTTCTGAGGTTCTGTTAAGACTCTTCACATCTATACCCATAGGAAATGCTAGCCTGTAGTTTGCTTTCCTTGGGATGGCTTTTTCCTGGTTTCTTACCAGACCTAGTGGAGTGGGTGGGGAACATTTTCTCCTTTATTTTATTTATTTGTTTTCAGTCAGGGTCTCACTCTGTTGCCCAGGCTGGAGTGCAGTGGCACGATCACCATGATCATGTCTACCGCAGCCTCACCTCCTGGGCCCAGGCGATCCTTCCACCTCAGCCTCCCAAGTAGTGGGACTGCAGGCATGCACCACCATGCCTAGCTAATTTTTTTAATTTATTGTAGAGATAAGGTCTCGCCATGTTGCCCAGGCTGGTCTCGAGCTTGTGGGCTTAGGCAGTCCTCACTTCTCAGCCTCCCAAAGTGCTGGGATTACAGGCATGAGCTACCTGACCTCCTCCTCCTTTATTTTCTAGAAGAGTTTGGTGCCGTTGGTATTATTTCTCTTTAATTGTTTGGTAGAATTCACCCGTGAATCTCTTTATGGGAAGATTTCTAACTATGAATTTAATTTTTTAAAGGGACACAGGTTATTTTTCTTGGGTGACCATTGACAGTTTGTGTCTTTAAGGAATTTGTTTATGTCATTTAAATTTCCAAATTTATCAGCATAAAGTTGTTTACAGTATTACCGTTTTATACTTGTGACATCTATGTAATCTGAAGTGATGTTTCTATTTTTTATATTCTTTGTATTTTCTTCTATATTCTAGATTAGTCTGATTGAATTAGTTTTATCACTCTTACTGCTCTCTTCAAAGAACCAGCATGTGATTTTATGGTCTTTCTCTAGTGTTTCTATGATATCGGTTTAATTGCCTTCTGCACTTTATTATTATTATTATTATTTTACTTTGGGTTAAATTTGCTCTTTTATTTCTTTTAGTTTCTCAAGGTGAAAACCTGGATCATTTACTTGAGACCTTACCCTGACATAGTTCTCTTTAGCCACTGCTTATGTTTTATTTCATTCAAAGTGTTTTCGAACTTCCCTTGTGATTTCTTTGATCCAAGAGTTATTGATAAGTGAGAATTTAATTTCAAAATACTTGAAGGTTATTCAGTTATCTTTCTTTTATGATTTCTTTTTCTTTTTTTTTTTTGACTGAACAGACGTGTCTTTATTGGCAGCGACTACTTGAGTGGGATGAAGTGGGTGGCACCAATGCCGAGCTGGCCATGCTTCACAGGCTTGTAAGTGATGGAGAACTTGCCTAGGTAGCGGCCGATTATCTCCGGCTTGATCTCCACCTGGTTGAAGGTCTTGCCGTTGCACACACCCACCATGCTGCCCGCCATCTTGGGCAGGATTATCATGTCACACAGGGGCGTCTTCACCACCTCCGGCTTCTCCATGAGGGGCTCCTTCTTCTTGGCCTTGCGCAGCTGCTTACACAGCGAGTGCTGCTTCCACTGCAGGCTTCAGTTCAGCTGCCACTGCTGTCGCATGCTTCAGCTGCTCATAGGACATGTCCAGCAGCTGCTCCAGGTCCACACTGTGGTAGATGACCTTGTGGAAGGTCCTCTTCTTCTTCTGCTCCACTTCCACCATCTTGCTGGCTCCTCAGAAAGGCTCTTTTATGATTTCTAGCTGAACTCCATTGTGTGTAGAAAGCATACTTTGTATTTCAGTCATCTTAATTTGTTGAGATTTGTAACGTGTTCTATCTTGGCAAATGTTCCATTCGTGCTTGAAAAGAATGTATGTTCTACTTTTTTGCAGGGAGTGTTTTTTAAGTGTCAGCTAAGACAAGATGGTTGATAGTGTTGCTTATATCCTGGAGAGGAGTGTGAAAATCTTGATTGTGATTGTGAACTGTAGGTTTCTCCTTTCAGTGCTGTTTTGCTTTTTGTATTTCAAAGGTGGATTGTTAGGCACACACACTGAGGAGTTCTCTGGTTTCTTGGTGGACGGGCCCATCATCACGTCCTGTTTCCATCTGTTCCTGGTACTGCTCCTTGTCCTCACGCCTTTTTTATCGTATTGATTTTTTAAAATTTGTTTTAACAGTACATCTTTCTGCATCTTTTGCTTTTGATGGTCTATGTCTTTACCCGGATAAGTTTCTTGCAGACAGCATGTTGTCGGGTTCTGCTTTCTCGTCCAGTACTGCCATCTCTTTTAACTAAGGCATTCTGACCACTCCTGTTTAATGTGGTTGGATTCAAATCTGCCGTTTTGTTCATTCTTTGTTTTCTTTGTCCCATTTCTTCCTTTTTTCTTCTTTCCCTGTCTCCAGTTGGGTTAGTTTTGTCATGAGGGAGTCTTAGCCAGAGCAATCAGGCTAAAGAAAGAAGAAAAACATATCCAGATAGGAAAAGAGGACGTCAAACTATCGCTCTTGACAGACAGTATGATTCTAAATCTAGAAAACCCTAAAGATTCCACTTAGAAGACTCTTAGACCTGGTGAGTGATTTCAGTAAAGCCTCAGGAGTCTGCAGTCAGTGGCGTTTCCACGTTTTGCTGATTCCATTCTACTTCTGTGTCCTCTCTCTCTTTCTCCCCCACTTCTCTTTTCTCTCTTCTCTCACTCTGTCTCTCTGATGCTTTCCTTAGGGTTCACGATGTAATTCCTTAATTTTCCACCATCTCACTTCACCTTGGGTCACACCACCTTGTATTTCATGCGAGAACCTTTCCTTCCTTCCACAGTTCATGTTGTGACTTTCCTGTTTTACTTCGACATATGATGTAAGCCACAGAATACATGTTTAATGCTTTCTGCTTCAGCAGATCAAGTTTCTAAAGTTGTTTACAATGAGGAAAGAGTCTCTTTATATTTATTTGTAGTTTTTGTGTTTCTTTGTATAGAATCAAAGTGCTGTCTGCTGTCACACGTCAGTAAATTATTTTAGTTTTTGTCCGAAAAAGTCTGTTTGTTCTTTTCCTTTTCTGAAAAAATGTTTTGGCCATTGCCTTACTGGAGTCTGGTGTGACCATGTGCTCTTTGAACTGTGGCCATCACCACGTTTCCTAACTTTGGCCTCCTCCCCTCCCTTGGGGAGGTGAACCCCCACTCCAGTTTACTTTCTAAATAAACTGTATTTTCCAATCTAAAAAAAATGTTTAATTGTGGTTGAATATAGGTGGACATAAGTGTTACCATTTTAATGATTTTAAAGTCTACAGTTAGGTCTTTGGCATGAAGGGCATCATTTTGTTGTGCAGCCACTACACGTGTGCTCCCACAGGGCTTTCATGCCCTGCAACACTGAGCCTCTGTATCCACTCTCCCTCCCAGTCCCTGGAGACCTCCGTTTGCCTCGTGTCCCTGTAAATGTCACACACACACCCTGGCAACCACCATTCTGCTTTCCATGCCTATAAATGTTATACCCCCAACCCCCAGTGACCGCCATTCTTTTTTACATCCCTATAACTGTCACCACCACTCTGCTTTTTATCCAAGTAAGCCTGGCACCTCTGCATCCCTCAGGCGGGTGAGATCAGAGAATGCTCGCCCTTTTGTGACTGGCTCCTTTCCCTTGGACACTGTCTTCAGGTTCCTGCCTGTTGTCCTCCCTCCAAGGCTGGGCCACACCCCATCTTATGGAGACTGCATCTTCTCACTGTCTGTCCGTGGGTGGACCCATCGGGTCATTTCATCTTTGGTCAGGCCGTGCTGCTATGAACTGGGCGTACAGATGCCTCTTTGTGCCTTTGCCCGCACGTGGGGCTGGTCCCAGAAGTGGAACTGCTGGATCGTGGGGCAACAGTGCCTTTCCTTTTTGAGGAACTGCCGTCCTGCTCTCTGTAGTGGCTCTGCTGGTTGGCCTCCCCAGGGCCATGCAAGATTCAGGATTCTCCCTAGCTTTGCCTGCACTTGTTGTTTCTGCTCTTTTGGTGGGAGTCCTCCTAATGGGTACGGAGTCTCCATTTTTGAAGGATATTTTTGCTGGGCATAGAATTTGGCACTAACGAGGCTTTTGTTCCAGAGCTTTCCATGGAGACACTCCTCCATTTCTGTAGCTTGCTGGGTGCCTGCCGCCATTCTCGACACTCCTGTGTGGCCAGACTCTCCCCGTGTGTCCTGACACTCCCATGTTGCACTCCACCCTCTCTGGCTGCTCTCAGGGCTTTCTCCAGCAGCGGTTTGGCTTTACCTGCCCAGTTTGTCTTGCTGTCTTATTCCCCCATTTGGGTTTCTCTCAGCTTCACAGATCTGCGACTTGTTGTCTTTCCTTATTCTTTTAAATTACTTCAGCCGCAATGTCATCTCCTGGGCCTTCAACTATAAATGGGAGGCTTTTTAAGCTATCCAGAGCTCATTGGCAGTCTGCTCCTTTTTGCTCGTTCCTTTTTCCTTTGGGGTTTCAGCTTGGACATCGTGCTGGCCTGACTTTGAATTCACTGATTCTCCTCTCAGCTGTGGCTCAGAGCTGGACACTCATGTTTTTCATCTCTGGCTGTGGCTGCCCCCTGAGTTTCCATCTGGGCATTTCTGTGGCTTCCATCTCTCGCACGTACCCCACTCACATTGCAGCCTGTGCTCTGCCCTCCTCCTCCCACACTAGCTCCTCAGTGGCCGTCACTCTCTGTGGGTCAGCCGCCCGTTGCTGTGTAGTCAGTCCCCATAGGCCCAAGAGCAGTGTGGTTCTCAGTTAATCCTGCCCTCTCTTCCCCTGCTGGGGCGGGCAGCTTTCTTTTGCATCTCCCACTTCCGAGTGAGATGAGTTGGTTTATATGCAGACTCCAGAATTTCCTAGGATGACACTGGGCGGCCTTTAGAGCTTCCAGAACCAAATGGAAAGTGGCAGATGTCTAAGAGGTCAGCCCGGGAAGTGCCTCTGTGATTCTTGGGTCGCACTGGCTCCTTCATGATGTAGAAGTTGGCATGGGAATGATTTTCCATTGTCTTACTCTCACAAGGCAGGAAATAGTGATGGGTGCATGGAGATATGGACGAATGTAGGGGCTCGCATGGTCCAGCTTGGTCGCTCCTTGTAATTAGGAGGCTCCACATGAGTCTTGAGAGAGCCACGTTATCGTCTTCCCTCCTCTTTCATGTGTGAGGTTACGGTATATAACACGCCCGAGTATGTTCCACACTTTGCTTTTGTGACTTGACAACATGCAGATGAGACTATTTTATATTCCCTTACAAACTTTCCTCCTCAGTAAACATCATCAACGTATCCTTTTAGTGTGCTTGAAAATGTCCATCATAAAGAGTTAAAAATAAAGGAATTTGAAATCTGCTTTACACATGCTGGATTTGAGATGCCTCTTGGTGTGTGAGTAGAAATGTCACGAGAGAAGTTGGATATACAGGTCTGCTGCTTGACTACACCAGGCTCAGAGGTAGAGCTCGCAGGAGGAGTCATTATACTCCTCAGAGCCAAACCCGGGAGCTGAAAGTTTCTGCCTGGGAGCTGCCAGTATGGAAGACGGGGCCAAGCGTCTCGCTTGAGAATGCTCCTGAGTGAGACCATGACTGGGAGGCAGGTCTGGGTCATTGGCTGGCCAGTGCTTGGGAAGTCTCCACCATGGGGATCTGTGGACGGCCAACAGCATGAGGAGGGGTCTGAAAGCCACACGAGGTGAGCAGAGGGAACTCACGGAACAGCATGCCCACACGTTTGAGTTCTTGCCACCAGTTTCTTGTGTCGGTTGCCATTACAAGTCTCCAAGCGCTGGAAATCCACTTATATTTCTGCTCCTCGAGGGGCTTTGAGCAGACAAACAGGAATGTTTCCAGCTCTTTGGAAAGCAAGGGGACCCCAGCTTTATCTTAAAATCATTACATGTGCTGGAAAGAAGTTGATTCAAGTGTATTTGCCAGAAAACCAGATGTCACTGGGCGCTCTGGGACCTGTGCAGCATTGCTGCGTTCTAGGTGCTTGGCATCTCCTGTTAAGTTAAAAAGCAGCTCTCGTTTAATGCAATGGTCTGCAGGTTTTTCCATGTACACCCCCTTAATAAAAAGAAATTTGTACACACTCCCTCCATGTGTGCATACCATTGTTCATGTAGAGTTCCTCCATGCACCCCTGCACTGATGTAATTGGTGTATTAAAAACATGCAGGGAATGAGGGCATTTCCTGTAGGCTTTGATGGCACACACCAGAGACTATTTGTTTTTCTGGAGACATAGGGGTTGGGTCTCTTCTTTCCTGGTGCTGGTGATGCTTCCTTCAGGTTCTCATGTGTGTTATCTGAGCAGTTTTTAAAAATTCTGAGGCCCAAAGGAAACTGTACATTCAGTGTTGATATTAAGTATCCAGGAGTGCATAAATGCAGGCTCTGATAATCACAGGAACCTTCTTGACAGAGCGGGTGTGGCCCTGGTCACTGCTGGTCACTGCTGATGCACACGTTTGACATCACAGTGTTCAGAGTTAAAGTTGTGTTAGAATACTGAACTTGCTATGTTTCTGTGTCTTCCAGATAACATTAAAGTGTCAGTAAATGATTTCATCATCAAGGCAGCAGCTATTACCCTTAAAGTAAGTAGCAAACTTCAGGTAATTTCAGCTCCTCAAGTAGTTTCATGTCTGAAATAATGATAAATAGAATGCTTGCTTTTAAATCACAAAATGTTATAATTT